GGGAGTATTCATAGTGCGATTCCGGGACACAGAGGCCCCGAACCCGTCTGCCTCCTCGGGGGAAATGTGCGGCTACATTTTGTCCCAGTGCATGCCCTCTGCTGGTCAGGAGAGAAGGACGAAGAGCGCTCTGTCCACCGGTCCGCCTGCCCTTTCCTCACCCTCTCCTCTCCGTCCTTCTCTCTGTGTCTCCCGGCGCTCTTTCTCTGAACCCTGTGGCCACACGGCCTCTGGAACCTAAACCCTTCCGGACAGGAGATGCAGATGCATCGCGGAGCAGCTCCTTTCCCAGGACATCAAAGCCCTCTCCCCCTCTGGGACCGGCAGCCGGGCCGGTGACCCACGAAAAGGTGCCAAGCTGGCTGCACACACAAACACAGCTCACATACTCACACAGACACGCAGTGTGGTTCTAATGGAGGACAGAGGGACGCATGCATTTCCCGGAGCCAAGGGCATACAGGAAAGGAGACCCAGATGCCCCTGCCTAAGGAGGAAGTGTGAGCCAACCCTGTGGAGAGGGCGGCAGGTGGATGCTGTCCGCCGGCTCAGTGAACTCGGGGCCCACTCATTGGAAGGCCAGGCGGCTAGGAGCTGAGGACGGCACCCAGGAGACAGGCAGCACGAACGCCCGCCCCACCAGAGACGGAGCGTCTTACGTTGCATGCTGCCAAAAGCACGAATGCCCCGGGAAGGGGTTCCCGGCTCGTCTGGCCTACAGAGGGGAACGCATCCTTCATAGCCTTACCTGCTCTGGGCCAGCTGGGTCAGACTGTGAGCAGATCATCAAGCTGGGCTATCACATCTCCAGAGCTGGCCCACAAATGAGGGGAGACATGCCCAAGCGTGGTTTCAAGCCTGAAAAAGGGTGTGGGGCTGTTGGTCGGTGCCAATGCCAGCCTGTCTCTACAGGCATCACCAACAAAAGGGGCTTTTTACACGCCCCCCTCCCCCCGTCTCAGTCCGGAGAAGCGTGAGCATATATACAGGTATAGTCCCCGACCGGGTCTCCACGTATTTCCACCAGAGTGGATTTAATATGCGTCCCCCATGGTCTTTGCACCATGGTTTTCATCTGTTCACCCATCATGTGGATGCTGTCCACGTCCACTCCCACTCCCGGGTGACATTCGTGCAATGACAGACGTCTGGCATAGCCCTTGCCGGGTAGGGAAGTTGAGAGGGGCCACACGACGAGACGTGTGCGGCCTGGGAAGAGAGTGAAACCCCTAGCTAATTCCCACACCTGGAACCATGTGTGCAATCAGCACAAATGGGTGGTGTTCCTCACACCCGCCTGCCACATCCCACCCCTCCCTCCTTGCCTTGGCCTGTGCGTCTGTGCGTCGACACAGGAGACAGACCCCCGAAGAACCACGGAATGCACTCGGGGCCTGTGTGTCCGGAGGGATGTGGCTGCCCTCGGCCTCTTGCCCCTTTCTCCATCACCGGCGGAGCTAGCAATCCCACAGTCCCTCTCCTTTGCTGATGGGGGCCTAGACACACTCTCATACACACGTGTGCACATGCAAATGCTTGGACACACAACACAGATGCCTACGGTCTCGACACAGGCATGGGCCAGTGGCCACACACCCTCACACGTGCCTGCAAACACACAGAGACATGCAACACACACGAGATCATGCAAACACACGCACACGACACACACACCCTCCCCCGGGCTCGACACATGGGAATGAAATGGCCACATGCACGCACACAGACACAAACCCATGCAGACAGGCACCGCGCTCTCTCTCTCACACACGCGTGTGTGCACACACACTCACACACAATCACCCAAAGGCCTGCAAACACACCCACAACAGACACCCGTGCACAAGCAATCACACATACATTCAACACTCGCACGGAAGGTCTCTGGAACCATTCCATACACAAGTACCCAAAGGAATTCACACACTCAGGTGCGCCTGAAAACACACACACACGCAGTACAGCAATGGAATAGCACAGACAGCCAGGCCAGTTGCTGCTCACATGCACACACACATTCACGTGCACTGGGAAACACACACACTACACAACACACACACCATCCCCGCACACAGGCATGCACATTGGCCGCCCAAACACACACCACCCCGCGCATGGCCAAAGACGGACTCAGGAAACACACACCCAAAATATTTGATCTCCAGTACACAGGCATGCACACGTGCCACGAACACACACAGACGTGTACATGAAAGACACACACGCACAACACTTGGAAGTACACAATGTCACCGACACACAGAAACGCACATGTGGCCACACACATATACACATATAACGCATGCAAACACGCATTTCCATGAAATATAAACACACGGTGCCTGCACACAGGTATATGCATTTGGGCCCACACGCACACGCGCGCGCACACACACAAACACACAAAAGCCATCTGTGTGCACACACTCATGCAACACTCACCAACTCACAAGTTCTATGGCACACAAGCATGCACACTTGGACACACACATCAACACATACGTGGGCATGCAAACATGCAAATGCAGCACAGAAACACCCAGGGTCCCTACTCACTGGAACACACACGTGGCCATGCAAACACACACACCCGTGCCCCTGCAATCCCACACTCTGGAAACACACACCAAGATACATGGTCTCCGGTTCACAGGCATGCACTCTTGCCACACACTCACGTGCGCATGCAAACTCACACACACCGCACAGACACACAAGATCCCCGGGAAAGAGGCATGCTCAGGTGGCTGCACGCACAAGCATACTTACACGCACTCACATGCGCTGACACACACCCAAACGTGTGCCTGGGCATGCAACTCCGTCACACACAGCCCACTCACAAAGCCACAGGGCCCACCACTCACAACTGCCTTCGCTCACACGTGCTTGGAACTGTCCCCTGTGGGCAGGTGGTGCGGCACAGGAGGGCG